CTGTTGACTCGATCTTCCGATGGATCATTTTGATCCGGAAGTGGCCCTTTCTTGCTTCAGGCCTGATGGGCTGCATGGCCCCCATCTTTGAACGCCTTCTGGTCTGCCGGCGCATGCCATGTCAACTTGTCATTGAAATTCCGAGCAATGGTTTGCACATCGTAGTCATAGAAGTCCTTTGCATTTGCTGCGCAAAGTCTCACTGGATATGGTTGAGCCAGGTGTGTCCGCCATTCACCAGCTTCTGTTCTTCCAATCAGCTGCCAATGTTTGCATTGCGTGTATTGGCAAATGCCACGCTTCCCGGATCGGCATTGCTTGCCCTCGAACCGTGGCAACGTCAGCAACACTGTCAGAAAACCAGTAGGTTTCTTGAATGGTTTGCCCCAAGCACAATAATGTGTTTCATACCAATGAACTCCTTGTTTGCGCAACAATGCAAGAATTGGAGGACATAGCCACAACCGTGATCTAGCTGGGTTCTCAAGGGAGCCTCTCACATGGTGCCTCAAGCCAAGTAGAAGCAGCCACACTGAAAAACGCATCCACAAATTGCCTCATGAGGTTTCAGACAAGAGGTCGGCTGTCAGATCGTAATGGGGGAGGCCCCGGAGGGATTTCCCTTGCTCTAGTGAAGCTTTCGCATGGCGTGCCCAAGTGAAAACCCAACAACAAACCGCTTCGAAGCCAGTCTCCTATCACGCGTCTCTTGGATCTTGGCCTCAAATCGTACTCTGTACCCATGGTAATGTCCCACATCAAAACAAGAACTGCCTTTGAAAGATTGCCACAACCGGAAAAAATCTCCAAAAATACAGCAACCGCCAAGCTCCGGCCAGGGTTCAATGCTTCGACTGGAGAATGTGCTCGATGTTGTCCGCGGCCTGCAGACACTTGCCGAGCACCTTGGGATCCAGCTCGTGCAGCATTTGATTGAGGCGCCCGCCTTTCTCGTACCGGCGGACCGATGCAAAGCTCTTCCAACGGCCCCTCCTCTGAATCTCGTCCAGCCTCCGTTTTTGGAGAGCGAAGTCTCTGCTCGCCCCCCCGCGTCGAAGCCTGTATGGGTGAGGTGGACCTATTGCCTGTAGGTGCTCCGCTTTTGCCGTCTCTTCCATCACTGGTTTGAGCTGTATTGAATTGCTTGTGAATAGCATTTGGTGTTTTCCGCGAGTGCAGACTCTTCATGCGCTTGCTGACTGCTTCGGGGATGTACTGAGTCTCCAGATCGTCGAACGTCACGGTCTCGTCGAATTCCGCTGTCTTTGATGCCACCTCCAGCTCCACTGGATGTAGAACCACACTCCAGGTCCGTGCGGTCTTCTTGGCGTTCCTCACAGGTGGCACTAGATCGCGACACCGGAGCCGACTCACCTCCCCCGGCCTCAAGTAGAGAAGACGAAGCACATTGCCATCATGAGCGCCTCCTGCAGGTAGTTGTGAGTCATTGCATACTTGATCATCAAGCACACCACTTCCCACGGCAGCGGGAGCCGCGACTTCGGAGGATCTAGCCTTCTCCACCCCTGCAGCGACTGTTTCGATCTTGGCAACATCGCTTGTTTGCTCGACTTGAGGTGAGGCAGACGATACAGGACTGCCGCCAACATGTATTGAGCCTTGCTGAGGTCCTCGCCCTCTTCGAACATGTGGTTCAGCATTTCTTCCAGGCACGAATCGACCAAGGACGGCGGGGAGCGCTCGTCCAGCCGCACGGAGGTGTAGCTGATCAACTTGTCCCAACAATCCAGGTATGTCGCCCGGCTCTTCTCGGTCACAGACGCTTCTGCCAGACGTCCAACCGATTGCAACTGTTCCCTCCTCTTCTCCTGTCGTCTCCTCTTTTCCTCTGTCGCACTGCTCTGACGATCCGATTGGGAGGCCTCGTGGGGCCTCTTCTTGCTTCCCTTCCTGGGGGACGGCTTTTCCACCACTAGAAATCGGTGGATCATGCTCTATGCCATGGGGCATCAAGGATGGTTTGGAAGGGAAGATTGAGCCTCGGGAAGGGCCATCGGCAGGATTCCACTCAAAAGGCACCCAACGGAAAGCAAGTTGAACATTGCCACCTAAACTCAAAGCTGCCACCTGTTGTGAAACCCGTCGCATCTTAAAAGATTGGCCTCGACCCCTATCCAACGCGCATACTGCTGAAATTGAATCCGACAAAATCAACACTCTCTTCCCAAAAGTTCTACCACTCCTCAACGCATGCCTACTAACTGCAAAAAGAGATGCCCTTGCTTCCAACACAGGAATGGGTTCTGGTCGTGCCCATCGGTGTCTACCACAAACTTTCCAATCTCTGTCAACAACTGAAAAAGGCACTGTCTTGAAGATCTGCTCATGCGACTTTGGTTGCACGACCCGGATTGGCCGCAGTCCCTCTGGGCCCCTCGCCTCGTTCGAAGCCCATGCAGCGGCTGCCGCTTCCTGGGGATCGTCGGCAATAGCAACTCCGAAAGCATGTTCTCGAGGACGAGCCAGGTGGGGGTAATCAAAGCGCCAACGCTCCGAGTACCGACCCAGTTCAGCGACTTGACCAACCTCGAACACTGCTGTTGTTGCACCCATCCCCCAATCCGAAGCGTCAGGCCAGGTCCCTCCAAATCAAGGGGCATACACCAATGAAAATGTTCAACTCTCGTCGAACTGACCTCCAAATGCGTGCCTTGTTCCAGTAGTTGCGTTGGATGAAAGTATAATTCTCCCCAAACACCGACAGACTTTCTCTCCTCCCCAAACACAAAAAATTGGCATGCCCAACAATTTTCTCAAGCTGTCGTCCGGTGCAAGATCCTCGTTGCAAGAGGTATTCAAAAGCCTTCCGAACTCGCCAGGCTCTCATTGGCCTGGGCCTGAAAATGTTGTTGTCAAATTCCCAACCAAGCACTTTGATTTGCTTTGACGCATGTTCGACTTCATGCACGACCAGGCCGCTGTTCCGTAGTGCTTCGACTCCGGCTCCAGCAAGTGAGCTGACTTTCTCTTTGTCAGTTCCCAACACTACCCAGTTGTCGACGTATTCAAGATTGCCTTGTCCTCCAAACTGTTCTGTTCAGTGGCTCCGATGCGACTAACAATGCGCTGGTGAATCGGCACCACCACAAAGCATGTGACCATCCCATGGGCAGTACTCGTAGTCGGGGCCTCACCCACACCCCGGGGGCCACTGGACAGCCCTCGAGGTGCTCAATTCCCACCGCTCCGGCCGGCACAGGCCGCATGGAAAAGAAGTCCCTCAACTCGACAGGCAGTTCAAAATGATAGAAGGCATCCTTCAAATCGGCAGTGGATATGTAGAGTGAGCTTTCACCGGTCAGCTGAATTCGGGACAAGCACTCCGCTGTAGCCAATCGCACCTTGCCAGGAAGACTAAACCAGCAGTTGGACCGCCTGCAATCAACAACCAACCTCTGTCTCCCATCCTTCTTGGCCACACAAAACATCTCCACTTGCTCAATGCCCTCTGTCAATGAAAACTCCACCAAGCCTGCCTCAGAGAGTCTCTTCACGAAGCCCTGAAAAACGTTTGGAACCCGCAACTGTGGATCAGTGTAGCACCTTTGCACTCCACACCGCTCCAAACCCTTGCGGGCCTCATACCTACCCAGAAGTCGACTACGACAAAACGCACTCACGATTTCCGCCCCATCGTCACCCAAACTCCGCCACCGGCACTGCACGGTTCCCAGCGTCGGGCAAAGAGAGCAAGGATGGGTTGTAAGTCGTAACGGCTGCCGGTGTTTGGTCGTCACCGTAGCCGTCGAAGGCGTGGAGCTGGCTCACCGCTCCTACACCATTGAGCTCTTGAGGGCAGGGCCCCATTGCAATCACTGAATTCCGAATGTGCTCAAAAACTCGAGCCTGTGCTTGAGAAACACCATGTAAGCCCCCCGGAGGGGACTCGCACCTTGTCACCACTGCACAATGCATTGAGCCCCATGACACAATCCTCCACCATACGATCAATGTGACTCGACCTCCGCAACCTCCGTTCGACCGACCGGCAACAATCAACATGCTTGCCAACCGTCCTGGGGCTGCAGCTTGGAAGAGGGAAGATGTCACGAGGCACCTTTCGCTCGCCTTCACCAAGAATCGGGGCTTGGGTTGTCTGCTGGCCACCCGCCCCCCAATGGCCAGTCAACGGAGAGCTCAGGGGCCCTCCTCGTTCTTCTTCCCTTTGGGATCCTTGGCAGCTTTGCGATTCAACTCCCGTTCCTCACGGGCCTTTCGCATGTTCTTCTGCAGGGCAACGTCCTTCTTGACCTCGGACTTGACGTGGTCAAGCAACGACGGGGCAACCATCAATGTACCTGCTTGCCTCACGACAGCTCCGAACGTGGCCTGCTCCTCCATGGTCAACTTTCCTCCAACCGACCTAGCCTCTGCCTCACGAGCACGTTTCCCATGGGCGTATTCGATGGTTTGAAGGCGTCTGAACATGAGTTCAACACCCAAGCTGTTCAACACATTCAGACAGTCGACCTGCAATTGATGCCTCACGAACATGCTCAACTGGAAGTGTTCAACCACTCCCCATGTAGAGCTCTCTAATTTGCACAGAGTCGACGACCTCGTTCGGCCTGAGCCTCAACCGTTGCAGCTGCCACCGACCACGCAGGAAGCCCATACACCTCCGCTGGATTCACACCTGGAGGCAACAAGCCTGGTCCCGGTCTGACCCTGAAAGCAGCCAGGTCCGGGTTCAATGCAGACATTGTTTCAGAGTGCGTGCCCTGGCCGGGTGTCACGATGATGTAATCATCGGCTTCAATGTGATCTAGGATCCAACGCTCGTGAACTACCACCGGCCCTGGGATATTATACTGAACCAATGCGTACCGATTGGTCAATGCCATGCCTCCTCAACCGGATGGCTGCAACCTGATTCCTCGCCAGAGTCTCAAGGCTCAATGGGGATGAGTCAGGAGAGCCGCTCTCCAGACTCTTGTGATCGGACCTCCGATGGCAGGGGAAGCAGCAAATGCCACAGGTCAGCACCGAGATACTGAGGCAAACACTCAAAACAACCCACACTATAGTCCCTCCACCTCCTGAAAGGGCCGGCGTCCACGGGGATGGAGGGGATTGTCGAGAACTGGTCCAAACTGTCCTGAATGGCCACGAACACCGCTCGACGAACAACCTCCTCCAACCGTGGGTCCACAAATGAATACCCCAGCCAATATGCAACGTGAAGAAGTGTGGTCACCTGGCCGACAATAATGCCACCCACGAGAACGACCCACCAACTCACGCCCATGGCATGCGCCCCCCCACCTGACACTTGAGATGGAAAGGACCACGTCGGCCATGCATCATCTATCGTATTTCGTCAACATCGTTCGAAGAACCACAATGAGGTTATAAAGTTTGCATCCTCCTCCCTTCCAACAAAAACAGGCAAACAACACGCCAGGATGCCGGCTTTTGCTTGAAACCTGGCTTGTGAGGTGATAAAAGCATCGCGCACGCTGTTCCTGTGAAGGTCTCAGCTGGGTGGAACTTTAGGTAGTTCACCTAAGCCGCTGTCTTCACTTTCGAGTTTGGCTAGTGGATTTGGCTGCTGGACCCCCCAAGGGCATTTGCAAAACCAGGTTGCAATGGCTGGCATGTTTTGAATAGTTTTTGACAAAGACCACTTGAGCTACTACCGACTTTGGTGGATGCTCAAGAGTGCCCGACAAACCCGGCCTTCAACTTACAGCGTTGGGCCCCAAGGGCCAACAACTTGCCGATCATTGAGGCGTTCTTGGTCAAGCCGATGCGACCTAATTGGGACCAGGCCGACTCCATCATGCGTCGCAACTTGCTGCGTTCCAGCCCCAAGCGTGGATCCACCTGCACACCGGTGCAGGAAGCTGGGCCGATGAACAATTCAAGAATGAAAAAACTGGGACGCCTCTAAGGCGTCCCTGGACCTTGTACAAGCAGCTGGGTCAGGAAAGGTTCGGCAAATCTTGGCTGAAATCTTTGACTGCCCTTCAGCAATTGCTCACCCGTAACTCGGCACCTCCCTTGTGTCCTGGTAGGCTTCAAAGTAGTCCTCATAGATGAGCCTCAGCAATCTGGGATGCCGAGGGAAAACCTGCATTTTGATTGATGGCTTGTCCTAGGCAGCCCGGGAAGTGGGTCTAGGTCACTCTTCGTGCATGTTTTGGCGGTAAGTGCAGCTTAGGCCAAAGAACCATACCAAAAGGAATTGGACAAGCTGGGCAAGCCTCCGGAAATTTTCCAAGGTTCCCGCGCAACTGACTTCAGTTTTCACCATACTTTCTCAAAAACGGGAAGGTGGCCCCAAGTTTAGGACCATTGACGGCCCTTTGCCACATCCCGGAAAACGATGGGAATAGGTGACCAAAATGGCTTTAGTTTGTTCCTGCAAAATTGTTGTCGCACATGTGGACACTCAAGTCCACCATACGGTGCGTTCAATGTGCGCTTACAAGCGAGTCAAACCAAGCAGCGCCTCTTGCGCAGCCCGGGCCTCCTGAGCCACTTCCCAGAGGGGCCCATCCCAGTCCACTGACTGCAAGTACAGACCTGCCAGTGCAAGGGGGTTGGGATATGTCATCAGCAAAGTTGGATGACAAACTAGAGATTGAGCACTTACAGTCTGAGTGCCACATGCCTTGAAGATGCCTATATAGGTAACCAGAGGAAAATAGACAGGTGCAGAATTGCACTGGGGTTCAACCATCTTTGAAAAAGTCAGCCGGGGAAGGGGCTGGCCCTGAGTACGTTAGGGCGGCCCCTAGCCGGTATGGCGTAGACCTAGCGTTATGGTATGGCGTAGACCTAGCGCCGGGATCCCACAGGGCCATCAGGGAGGAGGTGTGGAGGTGCGCTCGGACGAAAACGGAGGGGCTAGAAAATCTCGCACTTGCCGGCATGCCAAAAAAACAAACATCGAAAAGCAGTGTTTCTTGTTCTTTTTGCAAGGCAGGATGTTGAAACATTGTTTAAACTTTTAAACATGCTCATGGTGCACCCCCGTCCTTCAAAATTGCTTGAGATGCCCCAAGGTGCGAGTAATGCATCCCAAGTTGCCCTGCACTATTGGCATGTTTTGTTTCTGGTTCTGTTTCTGGCCAAAGCAACAACCGCAACAGCAACCACCACAACAACAACACCTACAAACAACCAAAGCAGCAACAACCACAACAACCACAGCCACAGGGACCCCACAACCACAACACCAACCACAACAACTACATACAACTACTACAACCACCACCACAACACCACCAACAGGCACAACAACAACCCTTTTTTTGAAAGTCGTCAAAGGGTCACTCTCTTCAAAAAAAACCGCAGTTAAGGAAAATCACAACAAAGCTGGTACATATCTCAACACTGGCGTCTTCGTTGGTGCTAGTCCAGTGTGCATCCCTGGCACACCTTGCCACTTGAAAAGGCCTATAAATCCAAGGCGTGCAAACAAACAAGCAGTGTAGCATGACACCTTATTCAACTCTAACACTCTGTCATCAAGACTGACTGGGGGTATCACCAATCAAAAAGGTGAAAATCGATAATAAGTATATAGAGAACTATGTTCCTGAACTTTACAGACTCCCAACCACCAACAAGTCTCCAAGTTTGGACAATGTTGTTCATGCAGTCCCAGGCCCCTTGGCCTGAAACATGCAGCCAAACATTACCACATTTCCACCTCTCAGCTTGCAATTTCTCACGTCGGTCGTGCACTATGAGCTCCTTCACAGTGACACGGCCGCCAGCCTGACACAGAACCAATGGCCACCGCAATTTTGCATCCTACATGTGTGGAGGCTTCATTTCAGTATCGTGCCACAAAGTCATCATGAAATCGATAAAATGATATATGCATAAATCATAATGTCATAACGTGGTTGGAGCGGCCCCACTACCACCAAAGAACGGCCAAACAAGAACAAGCTCCTAGCAAAGCTCCACCCACAGCCCAATGAGGACCTCCAGGGCGGAGCACAACTTTTTGCCATCGTCTTCAGAGATGGCAAAGCAAGGGATTTCTGAAGGATCAGGCACGCAGTAGAGCATTGCACCTGTGTCATGGAGGCTGGATCTACACTGAACAGACTCATGGCTGCAGTGCGCCCTCAATGAAGCTGCGGACCCTGTGACCCAGCTGGCCTCCACCACCGATCTTGATCACCGCCTCTGCCCCCGCTTGGTAGGCTCCCCGTAGCAGCGCTCCATCCGACATGGTCCCCGGCTTGTGCTTCTCTGAGAGCACGGCCACCGCACCACGCAGCTTCACGGAAGAGACGTCATTCTTCGGAACAAGCACAACGGGCTTCCCTAAGAGCAACGCAAGGGACAAGGATCGGGGGCGTTGTCTTCGTGCGACTTTACTTCCATTGATGGGTCCAAGCAATTCAGCATCCAAGTTTGGAAAGCTGAACTGGGTCTTCCGTCCAGCTCTCCACTCTTATTAATGAATTCACTTCTTGGCCTCCTATGTGGGAATTGAATTTCATCTCAGAATATTGGCAATCCAATACACCAGCACAGATTTCATGGCAAACTGGTAGAACTGAGTGGGACTGGTCTCTTTCAGCATCAATGACTCCGCCATGACTCCGCTATGACTCTGCTATGGCTCCTATGACTCCGACTCCCACGGCTCTGGGTCTGCCTCGGAACTGAGCCAAGCTCACCTCCTGCGCAAAAACCTGTGGTGCTGCGTCCAGCGACAGCAGCTGGCCGTCGGCCTCCAAGACCACTTGGGCCCAGGCGCCGCCCAGAGGCTGGCCATCCTGAGACATCGGTGCAAATTCACCTACCAAAAGATTTCACCTAAGAGCGATGGCCTCCGACCTAAGAGCGATGGCGTCCGACCTAAGAGCGACATGGCCTCCGACCTAAGAGCGACATGGCCTCCGACCTAAGAGCGACATGGCCTCCGACCCAAGAGCGACATGGCCTCCGACCCAAGAGCGACATGGCCTCCGACCTAAGAGCGACATGGCCTCCGACCTAAGAGCGACATGGCCTCCGACCTAAGAGCGACATGGCCTCCGACCTAAGAGTGACATGGCCTCCGACCTAAGAGCGACATGGCCTCCGACCTAAGAGCGACATGGCCTCCGACCTAAGAGCGACATGGCCTCCGACCTAAGAGCGACATGGCCTCCGACCTAAGAGCGACATGGCCTCCGACCAAAGAGCGACATGGCCTCCGACCTAAGAGCGACACGGCCTCCGACCTAAGAGCGACATGGCCTCCGACCTAAGAGCGACATGGCCTCCGACCTAAGAGCGATGGCCTCCGACCTAAGAGCGATGGCCTCCAACCTACTAGCGATGGCCTCCAACTACGATGGCCTCCAACCTAAGAGCGATGACCTCCAACCTACTGGCGATGGCCTCCAACCACGATGGCCTCCAACCTAAGAGCGATGACCTCCAACCTACTGGCGATGGCCTCCAACCACGATGGCCTCCAACCTGAAGAGCGATGGCCTCCAACCTTAATAGCAATGGCCTCCAACCTAATAATCCTAATAGCGATGGCCTCCAACCTAGTAGCGATGGCATCGAACCACGATGGCCTTCAACAAACTAGCGATGGCCTCCAATGGCCTCCAACCTAATAGCGATGGCCTCCAACCTAAGAGCGATGGCCTCCAACCTACTGGCAATGGCCTCCAACAATGGCCCCTAACTATGATTTGCGTTTAAGAATGAACATTATGCACAAATATACACAGTACGTCTGATTGTGGGTGTTTTACAAAGAACGTGCGCAGGCAACTGGCTGTCTATGCTGATGTAAGTATGCACGTCTACCACAGATGGGATGTTCCCTCTCAATTCATTGTGAGAGGTTGGATGGAGTGATGTTAACGTTTCCCTGAACTTGCACTCACCATTGATGCCGCGTTACGGTGTTACGCCGTTGCACAGTGAGGTGGACACGTCCACACAAACTAAAGCACAAAAACAAGCCTTTGCCAGAAAAACTCGCTCTGGCGCTAAGGCAAAGCATCCATTCCAACCAAAACCCTGACAACCATTGGGGCAGAATGGCCGGCTGCCTTCAAGAAGAGAACGCCATCTACAGTAAATGGTGCAGACCCCAAGGGGTGGTTTGTATGGACCCCCACCTTGAAAACATCTTGAATCGGGTTTGTGCCTACTCTGGCATCACTGTGCCTGGTGATCACCCTTTCAGGGTACGGATGTTGTATTGGGACGGCTGGCGTCACCAACCTCTCGGCTCCCAGCTTCGCTCCTGGGTACTGCGGCTCGCAGGGCCAAAGCAAGGCGCGTGGCATTTGCAACGGAATGGACAGTCCCCTGTAGGTGGGCTGCTCTGCACCTGGAAAAACATGGAAAAACTGTTTCACCCACCGGTGTCAAAATGGTGTTGTCAGGTTTCACCAACAACAGCGGGTTTCACACTCCAGTGCATATGGTCGGCAATCATGGAATCATTCTTGAGAATTATACCAGCATAGACTCCGAACAAAATGAAAGGCTAAGTGCATGTACAGTATATACATACGCTATGTATATATATATATATGTGTGTGTGTGTGTGTGGGAGCGCTGCCAGGCGGTGATAAGCGGGCCAACAACGAGGCCAAGCAGGACACACAAACCCAAATGACAAGGTCTGGACAGGGCCCAGGCAAAGCGGAAAAGAAAGGGCCTAAGGCCAGGACAAGGAGGCGCGGCCAAGCGTGGACACCCAGACCGCCGGACAAGGACTGAAGCAAGACACACAGACTGAGCAAGGACTGGACAAGGCCCGGGCAAGGTGAAGAAAGGGGGGACCGCGCAGCCATATTTATCGTGGCCGGGCCAGCCATATTCCAAAGAGGGAAACGGCTTTTCCTCAAGCCCAACGACAGGCCTGGCATAGTGCCTGACCGAGGTGAGACACCATCCAGCAAAGGAACTACATCGTTCGCAACTGGCATGCAAATGCAAAGTCTGTGGAGTGAGAACGAAGTGAGAACTGTTTGGGCTGGGGAAAACAGCAATCGAAGTGAGAACTAGAAACGGCCAAGAAGAGTTGTGGGCAAAAACAATTTAGAAACCACATGCCAAATAGCAAACGAAGGAAACCCTCGAGAGGCAACCCATGACTGAAGTCCAAACCCTGGCGGTCATTTCTGGAAGAAGTTCTTAGAGCTCTTCAACCCAAATAAAATGTCGAAATATGTCGAAATCTATCGAAATCTGTTGTTAAACAATCCAGTTTGATGAAGTCTGATGGTATGTTCAGTTTCCAGGTGCTTTTGCTGCGGCCGCACCTGGAAAGCCACTTCATCATCGCCTCACCGGCAGAACAAGTAAGCACTCTCAGAGAACAAGTATGCAGCATGCATGAAAATGAAGAACGTAAGGACCCCTACCTTTGTGTGGCCGCACCAACATGAACATATTATATATCTGACTCATATTATATATCTGACTGGGAGAGCTGGTTGGTTGAGCATATGCATTGTGCATACCAAGCCCTGGCACAATCTGCAACGCCCTGGACGACCATCGACCCTGCCGGGTCACTCACCACGTTGAAGGGGATCCGAGAGCGAGTCGCAAAGTCCCCAAAAAGCTTACAATTCTTCACCACCAAAACTGGAGTCATCGCATTGCCAACATTGCCTTGTGCTTGAGGTTGCACCACTCGGGAGGAGCAATCAAAAGTGCCCATGCCCATACACAACACCCGCACAAAGGCCCGGGCTTCATCCAGACTTGCTTCAAACCTGAGATGCATCCGTGCAGGCAAAACGGAGAACACTCGTTGTAAGTGGTCCCGCTCCCACCCCGAGGCCACTCATGGCTTCCCCTGACGCCCATGCCCAACACCCACCTGGGGTTGACGCTTCGGATCTGCTGCTTCGTGAGCTGTTCGAATTTCTCGAGATCCTGCATCAACCAGCCTGCCCCAACTTCCTCGACTGCTGGCAAGTGCATCTCCTGCACTGGGGTAGGTGGCGTGTTGATTCGCCACACGCAGGACAAAACTTTACGAAGCCGAAGTAGCCTCAGCATCGATGGAAATGGTCAAAACTCACAAGGCCCTCCCTGGTCCTTTGGTTCCTCTTTGGGCTTTTGGGAGCACCAGCGCCAAACCATCAGAACCAAGCAAGTCACCAGGCAGGTACCCAAGCGATCTATCCACTTGTTCCATTCCACGGACGTTGGCTTCGTTTCTCCCGCAGCCAGCAAAACCAAAGAGAACAGCATCACACCGGCAACGGCCATGGCTAAAACAGTGGCTCTGAGCCCAACATTGCCACTGGTGGCTCTGAGTCCAGGGGAAGGAACACTTGTGGATCAACCTTGAGAGCAAAATTGCAAGACATGTGATGCCACTTGGCCATGAGCGCTTCACATCATGAAAGGGTGAGCAATGTCCTTGAGCCAGTCATCCTGAATCTGCAAAAGCCACTTGCAAGCTGGCTTAGCCAAACTGGAGAAGATCCGTCACGTCTCAGAACTTGGTTGCCTCATCAGGTAAGGAGTGAATTTGAGTGATCATTGATCATTGGAAATGCAAAACTGTTGTTTGGAAACTGCACCTGGAATACAAAACACTCAATTGTCGTAAAACATGGATGGCCACAAAAAGCAATCAAACTCATCCAAGCACAAGCTCCGTACATGTTTCAAGGTCAACGGATCAACCAATTGAGTCGCTCCATCTTTCGTTGTATTCATCAGCTCGCCATTCGCCACAGTGGGCTCCAGCATCCGAATTAGGCCACACTTCAGCGTCCGACGCTGAAGTCGGTCTCTTCAAAGATCTCGAAAGCACCTGAAGTCCTGGAGTGGTTTGGTCATGCGTGAGGGGGCTGCTGTGTTCCATTTCTTCATGGTCCAACTGTCCAGCTCCAATCAGAGTCACCAACTGTCTAGAACTCTCGGCCTAAAATGATCTCGCTGTACATTACCCAGAAAGGTTCCCGGTCCTTGGTGAAGCTTCACGTGTCTCGCGTCCCCATCCACTACTCGCAGCAGTGGCCCCAAGGTGGCGCATCAGCGGAGCGCCAGTGCGCGGCATGGCCGCCGGCTCGCGGTCGGTGGCAAAAAGGGCCTCGGGTTCTACAATTTGTCCCTTACAAGCCCTACAACCGTTTGGGAGATGTGGCCAGGGGTCATGACCCCAATAGAATAAACAGCATGTGGAGACGACCTGTTGGAAGACAGTGCATGTGGATTATCCCATGCCTGTCGATGCTTCGCCATAGAGTATCCAATGTGACCAACTTGTTCTCCCATACTGTACAGTGCTGAATCCAAGCAAACCGTCTAAGAATCGCCAAAACAAAAGTGCTCACGTCACCACACTCCTGACTTACACTCTCAAGGTCCTGGTCAGTTTGCCAGAGCCCTTTTGAACCACCTATATAATTACCCATGTCAAGGGTATCAATTCCTGGTGGGATAGGTGCATCTAGTTAGCCGTGGTGTGAGGTGCAGAGCAAAGCAGTTGCATCCATCTTGCTGCCCAACAATGATACTGATACCATCAACTACTTTACATTCCGACGCTTTCTTGGATGCGGAGGCACAAAGTCTATTTCCTGAAATCACAGTTGAAAAACATCGCCAAAGGTGCCAGGATTTCCCTCTGTGCCAACTCAGCGGTGCAGGTGGGATCCTCGAACACATCCCCAGACGAGGACCGTCTGCGATTCGCGTCGGCTAGCATTGACCGGAGGCCCCCAGTGAGTTCGCTGGTCGCCTCAGGCTCACAGGATCAACTGGGTTTCTTGAAAGATTTAATCCGCACGGGCACGTCAAATTCCAAATGTGGATGGTGGGCCAATGCAAGCAAGGCGGTTTCCTCAAAAGGAAACATCCAACTTTAGGGCTTAGAACGTCCAGTCCTTGGGTCGAAAAATGTCAAGATGTCGAAATGTGCATTTTCATAACTGTGACATCCTGAGATGTTTGAAGCCTAGCTGCATTACAAGAGTGCAGTGAGGCACGAGACTGGCTCCTCTCTGAGGCCTGAAACTGTCACTGTCGGAGCTTCAACACAACCAACCTGTTGAAACCTCAAAATGGGAAATTGCAAACAAGGAGGGCATCGCACGGGCAAATGTAGGTCCAATGAAGACATTGATGAAAGCAACGATCTGCACGCACGTCTCTTTCCAAAATTAAAGGTCTAAATTTTAAGTCTAAATAGAATTCCGGATATCCGTCTTATTGCGCACGCAATTCCAGGCCCAAATATTGCACAAAGCGAACAGCAATAAAGAAAATGCATGTTGACATTCAATGATGTTATGATGTTGTTGAGTACCCTCCACAGCCTGAGACGATCGCGGCATTGGCCCCCGCAATGCCTTCCATTCGGCCGTGCCGCCAATGCGCGCCAGGACCCTCGGTGCTGGTGTAACCTCCAAGTAGCGCAAGGCAGTGCAAAGCGCTGTGGAAAATGAACAAGGAAAGAATGGCAATACAACGCACTACTGGAAGGTCTTTTAGCGCCAACTCGTTCACCAACCGCCTCGTCCAGGCTGGTGTTGCGCGGTAGCAGGGTCTGCGTGGCTGGCAGCTCTGTTTCGTCCAAGGCCAACCTTCGGCCCTGGATGGGAACGAACATCTTTTCCTCGGGCAGCACTCGGGCAACAGGCAAACTGCTGGATTGCTTTGGGAAAAAAAACGTCCCAAAAAACGTTAACCAATCCCATGTTTCTTCAAATGGGTTTCCCTTGTAGCCTACCCTTTTAAAGAATACTTCCACAGAAAAATATGCCTGAAACCGAGTAAGAGTGATCATGCACCGGCAGCTCGTCATCCTCATCTCCACCAATCTGCAAACCTGTGTCTTCATGAACTGCAAATCCTTCAGTTGCCGCGACAGGTTTCACTGCAGGTGGAGAAATGGGAATCAAGTCCTGGCGCACAGATGGCCTCTCTGCGGCTTAGGAGAGTTGGTTTGCACGGAGTCAAACACACAGCCACCATCACTGTATAGTTTTAGAAATTTGCCAAATGTGTGGGATCGCTCGACCAGGTTTGCAAACCTCTCACACCCCCTTTTGAATTGTCCCTCTCTCTCTCTCTCCCTCTCTCCGTTTTATTCATTCGTGGGCACATGGCACATATCACGTATTACATTCTTCATCACCATCAGCATCACCAAAGCCTCCATCTACATCTATAGCCATATCTGTTTCTCCTCAACTGCGTGGGCACGTGAGTCCCGTCAACCCCTCAAGCTTACCCTCCTGCTTGGTGCAAGCAGCAGGCGCAGGCTTCGGACCTGCAGGCTCGGTGCCCCCAAATAGGGAAATGGTGTGTTCCAATGATTTGTGCAATGGTATTATGTATTTGTATAATGGTTTATTCAATTCATTCTTTGGCTAATGAGTCTCCGTCACGTCTCTCTGGCACCTTTTCGAGCGGCGCGCTTGCACATGCGGCGCTGGAATTCCTGGTAACGGCTTCGAAGTCGCTCTTGTGGCTCGGCTGCCCGTTGCAAACCCAGCCGGTACCTCTGGCTGCGACCGGATTCTGATCCGTGAGGGTTTGGCTTTGTGAGCCCCACGCGGCGATCAAGCGGCTAGTGAATTGCCCACAAAGGCGTCCATCTCCAGATTCCCCACCCTTCAAGAATCTGACCCATGACGGGGCAGCTGCTTTTGGACCCTGGCAGTTACGCCCAGGGCACTGCTGCTCCGCTTCCGAAAACTTCCGCTGGCGCTCCAGGTGTGAAGCCCAAGCTTCGTAGAGAAGCGCATGGTGAAGTCCGATGCCTGGAGTGGATATGACTCATGATATGACAAAGCATGACAAAGTCAACCAGTGCTCCACCAACTAATGTACAAACAACAATGCTAAACACTTGGCTTGACATTGATCATCAAGAATGAGTATCATCCACCCACAAACTGTACCCAGAACTGGTTAGAGATCCATTTCTTAAAGCGAGTTGAATATACTATATAAAACAAAACGAGCACGCCCAAGTCAAGCTGGCCACTCGATCTACTGTTGTAGGATTGGTTTAGCCACAAAAAGGGACAGCCAATATGCTTCAAGATTTGCTTCTGGTTTTCCATCCAAAATGCCAACTCTGATCAGCAACGGCTCGGAGGTCTACACATTGACCCAATTTCTTCTCATGTTCTGCAACCTTTCAACGCAACAAATGACATTGGGACGCGGCCGCACCTTCTGCTGCTAGGAAATCAAACACCTCGAATTTCGGTGATCGGGGTTCCCAGCACACGATTCCCTTGCAGCAGGCTAAAGACCAGCTCTAAATTGCCCTATGACTTTTGAGGGGTCTGGCACTCAGTTCTGGTGGCGAGAGAATCCTTCAGCTGGGAAGGTTGCAACAGGACGCAGCAAAACCACAATTGCCAGCATCCAACCTACATACCATATGCAACCGGGGCTAGCCCACTCCAAACCAGCCCTCACTGTAAGCAAACCAGATCTGGATACCCAAGAAAAACTATGTCAGCCAAAGATCCTTCTCTGCCTCAGACGTGTTAGCAGCATGCCGCACCCAGAGTCTCAAGTGTCGAATGTCATCCTTGTGTTTGTCATCCCCTGCTAGGGCAAAACCTGAGCTTGTGCCCGGCGCAAAGCCCAACCATATTATATAAATGGTTGCCACAACCCCCCAACAATCACACTACGACATAAGTGCCAGATGTGCAAGAAAAGTATTATCCCAGAGTGAAGTGACAGGCTCGGGCAAGTACTTTCATCTCATCATCACTGTGCCTGTTCTGCGCCGTCCATTGGACATATTCGCACCATGCAACCACCTAGCCGCACCGAATGGAAGCGGAAAGTTTCAGGGCGGCGATTCAAGTCTTAGAGTGGCCAGGACGGAGCTTATTTGTTTGCCTGACATTCCAACATTGACATCTGACGGAATCTCACGAAGGATGAGGATCCTGTCAAAACTACCCCTCCCAACTGGTGGTGATCTTCTGACCTTCGTCCAAAACAGTCTGTGGTCAAGGATGCTTCCGGTTGCCATCCAGGGAACTGGTGCTTCTGAAAATGATTCTGGCAGTTTTGGTGGCTTGCCAAGTTACCACATCTTCGCCGACGTCTTGCAGGCGCTGTTCGAAGGCATGTTCAGGCGTGTCCTCGCACAACGGCTCGAGCACAACTTGTGTGAAGGCTTGTGTGCGTGTGTCTGTGTCTGTGCCTGTGCCCCTGTGCCTGTGTCTGTGTCTGTGCATGTGGTGCCGCCATGTTGGAATCCCTCTTGTCATAGCCAAATGGCAAGTCATGGCTGGGTGTTTCCGCACCCATCAATACGCAAATTACAACAATTTATAAACCCTTCATTTCTCGTCACC